TGAGCGAAGTTCGAGGCGCTGTCGGCTCATTAATAATTTGATGCGTTGTTTGATATTAAACGTCATGCAATGTAATTTTCTTGTTCTGGCACAACTTGTACTTGGGTTTCGTAACAACATTGGGAACTCATTATCGCGCTTTCAATTGCAGCAATTTCGTCAACTTGCGCCAGAGGCACAGCTGCACAGAATGCTGTGTCAACCATTCTATGACGTAATCCACATCCGCCATTTTACCATTTCCAACCCAAGGTTTTATAACAAATTCCGGAATTTTTAGACCCGGACGTTTCGGCAACGGGTGATTACAAAGACGAGCATCATTACTTCTTTCTACGCGCCTCGTATACCTACATTTGACTCACATCTTGTGTTACATTCAAAGATTAAAATTATTAGTTTCCGCGTTACAAAAAAATTGCAATGATTTCAATTGTGTATGCTTATTTTACCGTTAAATAAGACAAGATCGCATATTTTACACTTTTATAGCAGACATCTATTATTTGTAACATCAGAATACATTACAATGACAACCCCTGCCCGATTCTTCTGTAGCAAATTTATATATGCGATGTTTGAATAATGACAAAAATACAATGTTGTCAATGAAAACCATTTTTTATACACAATATTTTTAATAAAATTTGGTACATCCCATAATGTGATCACGATCGACGAGTTATTATAAGTAAACAAAACCATGAAGGTGAAGAAAGCGTCTATGATTGCTTCTAACCAATATATTGAAATTGTGAAGCGTTCCTAAGGCCAAGGCAAACAACCCTCAGGCTTAATGTTTAAAACAACCAATAGAAGGGTGACATTTTGGTTCGTTCACGAGACTAGCCTATTACGCTACCAGTAATTTTTTCAATGACCTAGACGACATATTTCGTAGACAATAACCTGTTTTACACACCTTGTCAACACTTTCACATAAATACACAATGGGACAAGTAACAAAGTAATAGCTCAATTCTTTAAATAATACAAAAAATATTAAACAACCGCTAGAAAAGTCACTAAGCTCATGTCGAGTGTAGTGTGTGCGAAAATTACCAGTTCGTTTGTACGATTGGCGTCAATTCGTTTGAAGTTGAAAATACAGTAGACGACGTCAGTTTGTTTAAAGTCTGCGACACAGACGGACACAAAGAATACTTTGTTTGATAGTTAAAGTCATTGTTGATTCGTCACAATTAAAATCAAATGAATAAAAAATGACACAGTTAATCACGTCTAATGAACATCACGACTCTGGTTATAAAAATATGGACAAATGCATGATAAAGTGATATATTACAAATTGTTGGAGTAGAGTCTGGTTCACAAATCATCCATATCTTGAATTCCAAAGCGAGCAATAGTGGCTGCAGTTCTTGTGGTTCGCTTGGGTTTCACATGTTTCCTCGCGTGCATCGCTTGCACATACTTCTAGCGGATTTAATTTCATAACTTGTCTGTAAAACTAGAACTGGTTCTAATTTCGGCTGATCTGACGATGCCGTCATTGCCAAAATTCAGTTTTTCAACGACATCCAGTTAAATCTACGCTCAGCGTCACTCTGCGTAATCAATGTAGTAGTCGTCTTCTTTATCGCGTTGTTCGTTCGTGTGTTGATACAACTCATCCCTCTTTGTCACAATGTTGCAGTGTTCTTAATGCCCATAATTCTATATCCCAAAGTTGTCGCAGATTAATTTCTGCTATGCACAGTAGTGATCGTCGCCTAATAATAATTAAAATCGCGAAGGTGTCAACGTTTGTGAGATCTTTACTGACCTGTATCTGTATGAACGAGCGAGTATCACATTCATCGATAAATATAGTGGCCGGGGTAATCACGGAACCCACAGAAACATGAGTGACAGCGGTCTTCTAGAGGATTGGGCCGTTTTCATAGTCGAACATGGCAACTAAGTTTGGATTTGTAATCACGAACTCGGAGGTTACCGAATAAAATTAAAACAAAGACCTTGGCGTTGAATAATCTCATTGCGCTTAACACAATTAGTAGTTGCTTTACAATAGTAAATATCAACATTTAGCTCAATGTACCGATCATAACACTGTCATAACTTACAGTTTTGTATCAGTTTTTCGTGTCGATTAATCATGAAAAATAAACATTTTTTTACCATATGTAGCGGCTATGTGTAAGCAAAAATGAAAATGTTTAGACATAAATTATAATGTATTTCAATAAATAAATTGGGAAGGTGAACATTTGTCTGCACAGGCGAAGTGTTAATTTAGGTCGAGGAAACTAGGACCTGGGGCACATGCCGAAAGAGTAGAAATGGGAGATAGTACTATTCGAGTTCAACCTTTCCCCAGTGAGTCAACTGACAACATAAATATGTGCTGATACTGTATCGACAAAAGCACAGCGAATTACGAGGAAGTATTTTGTTACGGATACTGAATTAAAATAACACGTACATCATGATGCGTTTCACGTAGTGAGACGATTCCAAATTTATTAATCAAATACAATGATACTGAAATCTCGAATTATTTTTCAAATGAATGGACACTCTGTTGTCATACTATAATATCAACCATGCTTGATATCAATTATTAGGTGTTGCCATCCAGATTACAGGGCCTTCCGATATCGATATCTTAGAAGGAAATGACGCTACATTGGAATGTGTTATCACTGGACTCTCATCTCCTAATGCTGTATCTTGGTCAATAGTCGGTAGTCCTAATCTGAGGATATTTACAGTATATCCTAACGGGATGGTGGCACATGCTGCTGATTATGATGCAAATAAACATTCTGATTGGAGTATAGACCAGTCACGTACTAATCACTATGATCTGATAATACCAGATGTCAATATTGATGATGATGGAATCTATGATTGTGGGTTGAATATAGACACACCAGGAACAATAGCAAGCCATTATGGAACATTGTCTGTTACAGGTGAGGATTTTATCAAATATTTCATATATTTAATATTCATTCACTCAAACCATCAATACAAATCAAGTCAGAAACTTTTAGTCAACACTATTCATTTCAGTCATGTTAATGCTATTTTTTACAAACAAGCTAGATATTTTTTTTATCGCTCACAAATTTCAAGTTATACACTTGATAGTTATAAAACTGATGCTATCAATGTTGCTACTGATTTGTTTAACGATTTAACCCCTAGCAGAAATCGTAAAATTTTGAGGGATGGTATTACCCACACACCACGTAGTTTTCATTTCATAATTGACGACATTAAGCATTTATTCACTATAAATTGCTCTAAAGCTTCCCGCCACAGGCGATTTTGGAACCATAGAGGGCGTAAACGCGTCAATCACGTCGAAGCAACAGATAGGCACATTAATGACAGTGAGAACAATAAGTCTGTTGTTAACCTGTCCTCTACACCACTTAAACCATATGAAATCCAACTTTTATCTAAGGGGCTTACCTTTGCCCTACCGCTTCACAGCCCGACAAACTTGAGGTCATATCAGATGTTAAAGCTTTTTCTAGATGACTACGTTTAAAAGAATATCATATTTATGCTAATAATTCTAGTAGCATTTCGCATTATCAAGCTACTCCTTTTACAAAACATAAAACTTGGTTTCAGCCACCTAGGGAAAGAGAGCCAGCTTTGAAGGCTTACATCTTGGGCATTGAGTCTGACATTCTTAACAACGCCCACCAGGTAATACATGACAACTTATCAGCCCCCCTAAGGCACTAAGGGTTTTGAACGCTAGAACAGACATTGTTATCAAGAGGGCTGATAAGGGTGGGGCTGTGGTAGTTATGAACATTGGTGATTACAAAAACAAAGTTTATAATCTTTTGTCGACATCAAATATTATAAGAAGTTGAAATCTAATCCCACTACCCAACACGCCAAAATTATTACGGAATACTCTAAAAGTATGCATTCCAACGATTCTATAGACAAGGAAACACTCTCCAGAACACCTGATTTTTACAGACTTCCTTCCTAAGATTCATAAGAAGGGGCCCCTGGCAAACCTATTGTTTCAGCATATTGATCTTGTAGTAAAAACATCTCCCTATTTATTGACCATCACCTAAGACCTTTAGTTGAAACTATCCCATCTTATATCAAAAACACCAACGACTTCCTCACTAAATTAGCCACCATCACTCTACCCATAAATACCAATATTATTCTTGTTACCTTGGATGTGTCATTATATTCCAATATTCCACACAATGAGGGTTTACATGCATTAGAATACTATTTAAACCGGAAAACCCTCAATTCGTGCCCACAGCTGACTTACTGAAATTAACTGAAATTATTCTGAATTGTACAATTTCGACTTCAATAATACACATTATTTGCAGGTCCAAGGATGTGCCATGGGAACCAGAATGGCGCCCTCATACGCTAATTTGTTCATGGCACACTTGGAAAAACACTTAGCAGACAGCACTCTGTCTCAGACATTCTATAAAAAGCATATAGACGACATTTTTGCTATTTGGCCACATGGTGTTGATACACTCCAACTATTTCTGTCTAATTTAAAT